TTAATAGAATAAACATTTTATTTATTAATAAATGTTTTGTATTATAAGATTGCAATCAGTAAAAATTTAAAAACTTTAAAAACTTGCAACTACACCTTGATCAGTTTCGGTGACGTCGCCGAAATTCTCTTTCAATTTCGACCGAAACCGAAACCTAATCGAATATTTTTGATCGAAACTAACCATAACCGAAGCCGAAACCGAAATTTCGGACTCTACCGCGTGATATTTTTCTCTTTGTTTAATCTAAATCTAAAAATGTATAGAACTTGTATTTGCCTGATAGTGCTCACTATTTCCTTGTCACGTTTAAAATGGGGACAGGGAACAGGTAGTCCTGGAAATCCTGGAAATAAATAAGTCACTTTTCTTTCATTCTTTCGTCTAGATTCTGCACACGATAGAGAAACAGAAATAAATCTCCAATTTTGGAAATGAAAATAGAGATTAAACGTAACGCAAAATGAACACAAGTGAATATATATGTTATAGCTATATTTTATACTTAGGTCCGTTGTGTATTACATTTAATCTTTATTCCTAATTTCTATATCCCCCCCCCTTTTTTTCATTCTTTAATTCTTTTCTGTTCATTGTGTTCAGGGGCCTTAATCGACGAGAGAGCGGAAATGCTCCGGTAATCGCGCCTTATAGACATATACGTAAGAAGGAATTGTCGTGACGCGAGAATTATCTCGCTTCGTTCCCACGAATATTACGACGCTGATTTATGAGAAAGGCGGATGACTTATTGTTTTAGTGCGGCAAACGCGGATCGTTTAGTTTTCATTAGATCACGTACGTTGCCTTCCCTCCCAAACGATTGTTTACCCGTCATCAGCGCCGCGGGGGGGATTAGACGTGTCGGATTAGGTAATGGAAGACGATGTCGCGTGACGATGAAACGACTTAGGGCGTATATTATCGCCTCGGCATGAGGAATGCGTAACTTTAGACGCGCACATTTGGGCTCGCCTCTCGGAGGAATTCGTCTAACATCGAAACGCGCGGCGGCTGATAACCGCACGCCAGACGCTTAATCATTGACCGCTCCTCTCGCGCTGGCAACGGTCCAGCCATTCTGCGACTCAATACTCAAACTTGGCCCTCGTCAATGGGTAAAAATAGAGACCGGTGCGTGCGACCCATATCCCATATATCCCGCCGTTTCCGATAACCCGCCGCGCGCGCGCGCGCGCCGCGACGTTTGCGACGCGTGAGAAATTCGTTATCGCTTTGTATCACAATTGTACCACGTAGCGGATTAACACGGACTCGTGCCTCCCTGATCTGCCCGAATCCCGAAAATGCAACGTTAAAATAATCAACTCCGACGCGACAAGATCGCGCCTCGAAGTCTTTCCTTCGTTAAGAATGAAATACACCTATTTTTATGATTTTTATATTTTTACGAAAATATTACGAAAAACACTTACAGATTATTTTAAATCGCACATTTGAAATTTATATAAAAAAGTTTTGCGATTTAGAACCCGGATCAAAAGTTATTTAAATAAATACAAGTGTAATCCAACGGAAATATAATTCAGAATTAATAACAAAAATTTCAATTTATACAAGTACGTTAAGTATTCAAAATTACTTATGTAAAGTTACATTGCAGAGATAATTGTTCTGTAAATAAAAATTTAATATTATTTGTACAAACCATCACTCGGTTCGTTTGTACTTTTAATAAAACTTTAATTTTTATTTACAGAACAACTAATCTCTACACCGCAACGAAATTTTTTTGTTTACATAAATCATTTCGAATGCTTAAAATATTTGTAAAAAAAATTGAGATTTTTGTCATTATTTCTTAATTACATTTCTTTTAAAGAACATTTCTACTTTATATTTAAGTAATTTTTGATCTAGATTCTAAAAATTTTGCAAAATGTTTTGCATTACTTTTAAATGAGATGAGAATTTTAAATGAGATTTAAAATAATCTTATAACAATTTTCTCTCTCTAATAATTTTATCGTAATTTCTTCATTAAATGTAAATAAAAATGTAAAATAGATGTAATACGTCCTTAGAACGTACTCGAATTCTATAATTTTTATTTATACAATTTTTCCAGGGAATTGGGAAAATTGCATAAATCTCTTCAGAGTGTGAAATATCCAGGCATTTTCACATTTATTTGCACACGATATTTTAAACTAGTTCGTGCGGTTATCTAAGAAGATAAAGCGACTTATGCAAGACAAACACGTTCGATAATGACCGTCATGATTTTTTACATTTATCGACCATCTGAAATATCATTATCTCAATATCTCAAGACGATAGCCTTATTTAAAAAGGGCTCTCGTTACTCCCCACGTGATTCATTCTCTAGATTAACGATTATATTGATATCTCGAGAATGAATGTTGATAACGCTTTATGTGTCACTCGACATTAGCATTTATCGACTACTTTTTTTTTTCGTACTTAAGATACTTAAAATGTCGCGACCATAATAAGCTACAAGCAAGTAATAGCTACAAGCGACAATGACGATGTGATAATAATGGAGGAAATAAATTTAAATGCGAAGTGCGAATTTATTATTCATTGATCCAGGAAATATTTTCGTACACGACGCGGCGATCCGCTTGATAATCTCGAGAGTTCCGTCTTGAGCAACTACACGAAGATTCACATCGAAGGATTGCGAATAGATACAGCTGACAAGGAGCCTAGTCACAACGAGGAGGGAATTCCCGAAATTCTGGCTGGGAGTAAGGCAGTGATTCGTTTATTCGGCACCGGTATTACGAAGGATACCTTGATCGCCTTCACCGATGTAGCAGCGGAAAGAGGAGCCGTATGTGACAAGATCAAGACCAATGAGTTTCCCGTGAGTGTCGTTATTCGAGTTGATTCGAGAGGAGAGAACAAACGCGAAAAATTACAAATGATTCCTTAACATTTAAGGTGGAAAACGTAGAGGAAACCACTGCGATTGTACATGTAGTACTTCCCGTTGGATCGTCGTATCGGCCTTTTTTCGTATGCGCAAAACAGCCGTCGTACGAAAGAGAGAGATCGAAGAAGGATGACATCCTGTTTAGACACCAAGGCACCGCGCGATACAACACCGTGAGCATATCGTCTCTTTCTTTCTTTCCTTCCTTCACACCGTCTCGATTCCAATTGCACGAATGAATCAAAACTTAGAAGGCTTAATATGAAATTTCGTTATTCAGAGTTGAAACAATTATTTATAGTTCGGGACTTTCAGATCCGCACATATGAGAAATTCCTACCGTTCTGGCTCACTATCTTGATCATTCTCGTTTGTCTCAGTTTGTCTGCACTTTTCTCCGGTCTCAATCTCGGTTTAATGGCGATAGATAGGACCGAATTGAAAATACTCGTCAACACAGGTACAGAAAAAGTAAGCGAATCTACCTTCTTATATATGCCTGCGTGTTTTCGTTTCCCTTCTTCCACTTACGTTGCGTTACCTCTGCGTTGTAGGAAAGAAAGTATGCGAGAACCATTCAGCCAGTAAGAAATCACGGAAATTATCTTTTGTGTTCGATTCTGTTTTCCAACGTTCTTGTCAATTCGATATTCACGATATTGCTGGATGAGTTGACATCCGGGATAGTCGCTGTTATCTGCTCGACATTAGCTATTGTCATTTTTGGTGAAATTTCGCCGCAGGTATGTTTTCTGTACGAATTACGCGAACGCTTTTTCTATAATTCGTTTTCAGCTTTTCGATCTCAAGTTTGAAGATACAACTTGTACGTATATGTTGTAGGCTATGTGTAGCAGACACGGATTATGTGTCGGCGCAAAAACTATCTATTTAACTAAACTGACAATGCTAATCACTTTTCCATTAAGTTATCCAATTAGCAAGTTGCTTGATGTTATTCTCGGCGAAGAGATTGGAAATGTATATAATCGGGAACGTTTGAAAGAGCTGGTCAAGGTAAGAAATTAAATAGCTGTATAATAATCAAATTGAATTAAAATACCCGCGATTATTATTACTATAGGTAGCTTGTAGTTGCAGTAGTTTCCCACATATATTTAACTATAATTAACATAATTCCTATTTAATGTCATTTCTTTATCCAAGTTTTTTTGTCTATAATAAAAACTAATAACGTTCATAAATTCGCTCATAGAAAAATCTTATTAGAAATGCCTGAAAAATGCATGAATACTTGAAATTGATATATTAATACTATACAGGAACCTTTCTAGGTAACGACCGAATACAACGATTTAGAGAAAGATGAAGTAAATATAATTGCAGGAGCATTAGAATTGCGAAAGAAGACCGTAGTGGATGTAATGACCAGAATTGAAGATGTATATATGTTGAATTATAATGCTATTCTAGACTTTGAAACAGTGTCTGAAATCATGAAATCAGGTACGATTAATGTTTTAAAAGAGTTTTAATGACGTTTGTTTGTATTAATCGACGCTCATAGCTTCATAGATAGTATCAGTTTAATTCAATGCTTATTAGAGATCGATAAATCTCGTTTTGTCTTATCAGACTCTGATAATTATGTAATAATGATTAATGATTATTTAATAACAATTAATGATCATATGTAGATTTTTATGTTAACTTTATAGAATAAAGCAAAACTTGGAATTAAAGTAAGTTCGAGTATTTTGTTTTTAGGATTTTCACGTATACCAGTGTATGAAGACGTAAGAACGAATATAGTAACAATGTTGTATATCAAAGATCTTGCTTTTGTTGATCCCGATGATAATATGCCACTCAAGACACTTTGCCAATTTTATCAAAATCCATGTAATTTTATTTTCGAAGATGTTACGTTGGATGTAATGTTTAAACAATTTAAGGAAGGTTTGTACAATATATTTTTCTTCGATATCTTGATAGATAAATTTCCTGAAAATAATGAAAATTAATAATCATGGTATTTTCAGGTCACAAAGGCCACATGGCTTTTGTGCAAAGAGTCAATAACGAAGGTGAAGGTGATCCGTTTTACGAAGTAATTGGTTTGGTAACATTAGAAGATGTTATTGAAGAATTAATTCAGGCTGAGATTATTGATGAAACAGATGTATTTAGTAAGTTCTATATCGATTATATATATTATATATATTGGCATTTGTTGCATCTTTCTTATATCAATTATAGTTGGCATTTGTTGCAAAATTTTTTTTGCGATGGAAAAGATTTTTCTGACCTTATATATTAGCAAGATGCGATAATAGCGAAAATATTAATTTTTACAGCGGATAATCGAAATAAACGAAAGAGACAGGTTCGTCCGAAGATACCAACGGATTTCATGATATTCGCAGAGAAGAAAGAAAACCAACGAATTCACATCTCGCCGCAATTAACATTGGCGATGTTCCAGTACTTGTCAACAAGTAAGGAGTAATATCAAACAGATTACAAAATGTTTGCAGATATATATCTTTTCGATATTTGATTTGTAATTGTATCATGTATAATCTTCAGCTGTGGACACATTTAAACCTGACGTTATATCGGAGACGATTCTGCGACGTTTACTGAAACAAGATATTATTTATCACGTTAAAGTAAAATCGCGCGAGAAAGCCAAAACTGATCCCGCTGCGATAATTTATCAGCAAGGAAAAGCGGTCGATTACTTTGTGCTAATTTTAGAAGGTCGCGTCGAAGTGACGGTGGGAAAAGAGAATATGATGTTTGAAAGCGGCCCTTTTACGTATTTCGGATCGCAAGCTCTTACTGCAAACATCGGGATTGGTAAGAATTAGATATGCCTTGATAATATTTAATCTGATCGGAATTTTGTTTGGACGATATACATTTATTCTTTTGTAGCTGAATCGCCTACGAATGCAAATCCGCAGACAGTCGGAAGTATTCAGTCTGTCAATTTAGATTCTATGTTACGTCATACCTTTATACCGGATTACACAGTGCGTGCAGTGACTGAAGTATTCTATGTAAAAGTCAAGAGGTCTCTATACTTAGCTGCGAAACGCGCTACGCTTCTAGAAAGAAGTCAAAAAGATCCGCTGCCTAGTCAGGAACAATTTGACGACGAAGTAGAGAAGGTTGTAATTCGTCACATAAATCATTAAACTGCTATAGTTTGTTACAAAACTGTTCATCACATCACATGAAACATCATCTTGATTTACAGTTGCTGCATTCTTTAGAAGAAGACGATCGCAGTGTACCTGAATCTCCGATATTACCCGCGGACAAGTCGGCAAATAGCGAAAAAGGGAAAGATGCCGTTATTCATTCACCCATACGTAGCGTGACGGCACCGACGTCACCACTTCCGGTTAGTGCCAGTCCGATCACGAATTCGAAGTTTATCTCACCACGGAATGACGCGAAAGTTAAGAATTCATCAGCAAAGGTTCCTATTTCGCCCTTTAAAATTTTAAATCTCGCGACACAATTAGGCGAAATTGATTTTTTTTCTAATTTATAATGCATCAAATTTTAGGTACAGATGAGTCCAGTGGAAATTCAAGTTAAACACGACTCGTTGACTGCATTAAATGCAGATATTCTTGCTCGACAGTCCGAGGTAGTAAGAATGTCTGTGAAGATGAATGGCGACGAAGAACGAACAAATCTCTTGTCTAAGCCAGATAACTCTTAACGCTTACAGAACGGCCGACGAGACTCGGTACTGTCGGCGAAATCGATAACATTAAGAGCATCGAGTAACACAGAGCAGAACATACTGGCATGACACATTTTGCTACTGTGACACTAGGTACTTCACGAATTACTTAGATATTTATCGTGAGAGGCACTTGAAATTTTTAGCGATTGGTTTAGAAGCTGTACCCAATCTCGACTTTCATCAAAATTTAACTTATTTTACAGATACGTCAAGTTAATATAAAAAAAAAAGAGTAGTATGTGATCAACTGCTCTTAATAGCATTTTATAGATAATAATAATATCAAATAATAATATCAAACTAAACTTATGATTAAAGATTCTGTTTAAAGCTCGTGTCTAATTACAAAAAAAACAGAAACAATGAATTAAAATTCATTTAGCAGCACGTTTTTTATTTTAAAAGAAAAAGTTACTTTGATTTTACGATTACAAACATATTTTAATGATTTCTAGATTTTGCAAGTGTTATATAATGTTCCATTATAACATTATATTAGGATTTCTTCAATGTGAGTAAATAAATGACATCGCGGGTACAGTTTTTAGCTAATTGAGAAAAAGGTGATAGAAACTACGCTGCAATAATGCCCTGACATTATTTTGAATATATTTTAGTACGAAAAATTCATTATAGAACAAAAAAGATATATGAAATCAATTACATGGTCGAACACTCAGATCATCACATATATATATATATATATATAGATTAGAAAACAGTACAAACGAATGAAAAAAGTTTGAAGAGGATTTAATATACATTATTCGAAGGTCACTTCTCTGGAAAAAGATGATTTTATTATTTACTTTAGTTTTGTTTGGAATATACGCGAATCTGAACATGCATGATAGATTAAAATGGCCCAATTAGCGAGTAATAACGAGAAAATGACTCGGTACGTAATTGATATAGTTACTTGTACTTTTATTATGTGCCTTAAAAAATTCGCTGTATAGATGTATTATCGTTGTGTATTTAAATCAATTTTATCAGAAATATTCGTTTCCACTTTTCTCTCTGAAGAAACTGAAGTTTCATCAGTTACATTAGTTACATTCCTGTTATTACTAGTACATTCATGTACTTATATATCTTTTCTTTTTGCATTCATTATTATAACGAAGGAATGTTGAGACAAGTGAGAAAGAAATGTACTGTTTTTCTTACGATATCATTAAGATTAAGAAATAGCAAGATTTTTTTTTGTTTCTTTGCATTTGATCTTTCCTTAGCAACAATTTAATCGTTCCGATTAAAAAATCATCTTGTAATATTGTAATTAAGCTACAAGAATTGAAAAAATGTATTATACAAATGTAAATAGGGAACAGGATTATTCTTCTCTTAGTAAACTTTAAGCAACTTTACCTATTAGGTACTTAATTCATGAATTGACTGATTGATTCATTATCTTAATATTTTATTATGTATGAAAATGAAAGATTAAATGTTTGCTAAAGAAAAAAAATTATTTACTTTAAGAATAGGATTTTTCTAGTAAAATATATATTTTTTTTATGTTCGGAATGAAATCTAAAAAATATGTATGAAAGATGCCTTCTATTGTACAATTGTCTGGTAATTTTCCATAGTAATTTATAGACATATCTATAGTTGTGTAATGAAACTTCCTTTTCATTCTGTAATATTGTTAATTCTTTTTCATGAGTCTAATTTCCTTAAACTGTTGTTCTCTTTTATAAGTCATGAGGCGAATGTACAATATAATTTATATTGTTGTTAATTGAGTACTTATAATATACATTGTATACATCAATGCGATATACAATTATGCTGTAATTGTTAGGCATAAGGCATTTCTTGAAAAACAAGCCTTTTTAATGCGTACACGATTCTATATTAGCGGACTTAAAAACATAGTAAATTAAAAAAAAATGTTCGAACAGCTTAATACGTGTTTACATAGTCTGCCGTTTGTTAATCGTGAATTACCTCACTGAACTATTTTGCAAAACATAACATCTGGTTTGAAATTCTGTAGAATGTATCGAGGAATGTATTAGGAAATGGTTACCTGACATTGTAGGTTATTGATCGAAGTACTTATCAAAAGAAACTTAATAAGAGAAGAACTGCGATGAATATTACTAATATTTTGTACTATTCGAGTCTGAACAGAAATATTATGTGTAGAAAAGAAATATATTACATCTGATAAAAAGGAAACAAAAGATACAGCATTCTATTGCAGGATGATAGAAATTTAGATACATTACATAAACCGTTACATAGATGAAGTTATAGCATGAAAAATAAATATATATGTGACATTTTTTTACAAAGATGATTTTACATAGTATATGTAATATAAATGAATATCGTGTTAACGTGTACCTTTTTTAAGCCGTATTTTTTTTTTTTATTGAAATGTCATTTTTTTAAAATAATTATAATCTTACTGCCATATGTTTAGTTTGTTAGGATCGTTGATCCCTCTGCTTAATATACATATATTCATTTGTTTCCAAATAAAGCATTGCCTCTAATCCAATTATACTAAAGCTTAATTATACTTACATGTATATAGTATAATCCAGAAATATCAAATCTAGTACACAGCGAAAGTTAAGAGGCGAAAAAAATCCTTGTAGAGAAATGTAATTTCGATAATTGAAAGTTAAATAACAAAGAGAGCCGATCTAATGTGTGACAAAGTTTTATATGAAAAAATATTTATCACAATAAATATGTTCTTCCTTAGATTATATTATACCTTTATAAAAGTCTGTAAATTAAATATCACATCTGTTATAATTCATCAATTTATTCAACTCTCTTTTCATTTGGTTTTTCATACATCTTCATTTTAAATAAGAATTAGTATAAAATTTTTAACAGTAAAGTAATCTCCTATTTCTGTAGTATTTCCGTATAACAATTTCCTGTACTATAATCATATAATTATATAAATATAAACGCTACATGTGCGCGCGCGCGCGTGGATGTATGTGCGCAAGCGCGCGCGTGTGCATTTGCTTGTATATATTGCGTACAATCTTTTTTTGGAAGCGAAATCATATAGAAATGTAAGATGCATGCATTATTAAAAGAAATATATAAAGAAAATGTTGCATAGATGAAAAATAAAATATAAAATTATTACATGAATATCGATACTATAAATCAATGAACTGATAAAATGAAGCTTAATAAAATGAAGCTATGATAAAAATTTAATAATATTAAATATTGCTGATCAATCTATTCTCTAATACAGCAAGATTCTCTAATAAAGAAACGACTTCAACATGTATATCTTAAAAATTTATATTAAATTGAAATGCACCATGAAATTTTTTAAGTCAATTAAAAAAATTCCGCGAAATTATAATTCCGCTCGTACAATTCTTTTGATTTCGCATAATTTTGACATGCTTAATTCTCTTCCCGCTATTAGGTGTTGCAATGATGCTATTTTAGCATCTATAAAAGCAATCTTATCTTTTTTTGAGCCTCTTTTTCTCTTGAGATCCTGTGGCGGAAAATTTACAAAGTTTTGTATAAGGCACCACGGACGTTGTTCGTTCGTTAATGTAATCAAGTCCATGCTAATAGATGAAGAACACAGTATTCGATTTTCATTGATGGGCATTTGTATTGAGAATGCTGTGTCTGTGATTTTTTTCATACAGAACATATTTTGGTTTTTGGAAGCAAAAGTAAATACTACATAACTATTTTTAGGCAATTTGTCTGTAATATTTAAAGTAAGATAACGATACTTACACAGCCTGAGTATCTTAATATTAGGATTTACATGCAGTTTTTGTTGGGCAGCATATAAATTTATCCTCCTTAACTTATCTTGCTCGTCAGTCAGATTTTCATAAAGCAAATTCAATTCTTTCGTTTTGTCACAAATGTTCTCCATAATAGCAGCTGATTGGTTAAACATTTCAGTATGTAGTTCGACATAATTGTCGATCGATAAGGAGTGTTCCAACTCTTCGAAAGAGAGTTCAATCAATTCCTTCTTTTGTGACAGAGCTAAAATTACATTTGGCTTGTAGTATTGCATACAGATAAATGCTCTCTCCTCCATTCTTATCTTTAAGATTGCATCGGCGTTGAGATCTTTTTTCATGTAATACGTTCTGGATTGATCAGAGCATACTATCCACAAAACATTCTCCATGCACAAACTGAAAATGGCACAGAGTACCGTGCCATCTTTTATATTTTCTCCAAGGTATATTTTCTCAAAGACTAGATTATTATCATCACCATATATCAAGATTATCATGTTTGAATATTCTGTGAGTAGTAATAGACCAGCAACCTTGTCACGTTTCTTCACAGGCAGGATATCTATAATAGCACTATTGCTAGTGTAAATCAATTGTGCAATGTTATCCTTTAGTATATACAGTTTCTCACAGTGTGCAATGACACACAGATTTTTTTTAGTGTCCCAATCAGCGACCAAATAGTTTATAAGCTGTGCCTCAGTATTTGCTGAGATCAGAGGAAAGGTACAAACCATCTCGCTCACGTTCGACCCAAGGGAAAACAGCAATGTAGACAATTTGATTTGCTTATCGTCAAGATAAACACCATCACTCTTGGCGATAAGCACTTGAAAAAACTCACCACCCATACCTAATGCATTCTTGCTTAAGAGAGCAAACTCATCAGCTCGGGATAGCTTATAGATACCCTGCATGCATATGACAAATGCTCTGCTATCGAAGAACTGGATCTTTCTGACAGGGAATGGCGTTGACAGAACTCGTGCATTTTGCACCCAATTTGTTTCCTTTATATAGGGAAAAATAATAAGTTTGTCACCATTCCAACAGAAACACGTCTCTATGCCGTAAAAATCGCACACGACAAAGTGCTTCGGCACGATTTCGTCGATCATAATATACATCCTCGGGTTAAATTATTCTTTTTTTTTCTGACATTACATGTCCACAAAAAACAATAAAGAAACATCAGGACGAATAAATTCAACCCTTTTCTAATAAAACCATCCAGAATGTTCCCATGTTTCGCATTCTCGTACAACGATTTGGTAGGTGATAAATTTGTTATCTGATTCTTTTGCACTATCTTTTATTTCCTGTATTTAAAATAAAATAAATATGTATATAATTAGATGTTGAATAAAGAAAACAAACAATACAATTTCACCTACAAAAGTCAGGAAGAATACCGTGCACTTGGTTTAATCTAACCTTCAAAATTGCACTTTATCGAACTTAAGTACCTTTTTAAAACTTTTTCATGCAGCAAAGCAAGATTAGCTTTTATCTCGTTTGATCACGTTGCAATTGATCGTGGCATTAGCCACTCATAGCGTTTAAACAGGAAAACCTCTAGCCATCGGCCGCTGTGAGTGGCTATGGTCAATCGCAACATGGTCAAACGGGACACTCCCTTTTAAATCTTTTATCACCTCTCCATCGATTTTTGATAAATCAGCGAACTAGCAAAGGCACGCTGAAAAGTTCGACATTGGTCTAGTTTCCACCAAAATCTTCAATTTGATTCTACATTCGTATGTACTTGACCCGAGAAGTATGCCGATTCAAAGAATTATTATTATTTTATTGTATTTCGTATGAAGAGTTTTGAAGTGCAATTGAAAAGATTTGTAAGTCATTCAGTTAATTGTAATAAATAATCATTTTTATACGATGTACTTAGCCCGAGAACCAATCATAGTCGATTATTCTCCTATTTTTCGACTATAATTCGTCCATTTCTTATGGCTTAAGGCTTAAATCACCTATTGTAGACTGGGACTGACGGAACTTTCGAAATTGTAGCGATACTGCATCATAATGCAGATAATCTTATTTATTATATTATTTTAAGGGCCAAATTGCAAAACTCGGCTCTGTAATAGGTTTTGCGACTTCGTAAAACATGTATTAAGAAAAGACTTGTGGCAAAATATTATCTCGAGAAAAGATTACGAGATAAAATATGATAGAATACAGATTTGTACCTGCATCGCACAAATGAAGTATAAATAAGTTGGCTTGTTGTTCCTGCTGACTCTTAAATATTTAATTATAATTATCTGAATAATTCACAAAACTTTTTAATGATACTTTATAATTTTTTTATACAAAATACAAAGAATTCCATACAAGAACATTGTCTAACTTATCGATTAATTCAATTAATTCCGGGCTAAGTACATGATATAAAAATTATTAATTAATTACAATTAACTGAATGATTCATAAACCTTTTCAAGGTTTGCTCTTCAAACAAAATACGATTTAAAATAATAATTCTTTGAACCGGTATATTTCTCGGATCAAATACATATGAATCGATTCTATTTCGATACGGATCAAATTTAATATGCTGTTTCCATCGGAAATAGAAGTAGAAGTGAAAAAGACTAAGACCTGTTTTACAATGAGTCAATGTCGCAAATCACAAGAATCGATCAGTCACAATCGAATGGGGAGAATATTTGATTGTGATTAGCCCATTTTTATGATCCACGACTACGACACACGATGCATTATAGAACAGGCCTAACATTTCAGTAGAATCAACATAACTTTTGTTTGTTGAATATAAACAAATATAACCTCTGAAAAATGCATATATAAATTACACTTATAGCTCTCGCACACTGAAATCGACCAGCGACGAGCGAAATGAAAGCTTTGCTTTTTCAAACGTTACATCCGAAAGCAAAACTCTCATGGACTCTCTTGGACATCGCTCATCTCTCATCGCTCATCGCGTTCGGTGTGCGAGAGCCATTATAGTTGTGTAAAAAAAATGAATTTTGAAATAATTTTGTTGAATCATCAATTATACAGAACCGTACTGATATATAATGAACAATTACTACTATTATGAAAAGTAAAATTGGTATTATCTACTTTCAATCGTTTCCATCGATTAAGGATATCGATCAAGGGCTTACTATAAATGCTTTGAAGCATTTTTTGATTGGTGCATTGGTAAAATTCTTTGATTGGACAATCAAACTCTTCGAAGCATTTATAGTGTTACATTGATCATAGCCTAAATCTTGTATCAGTTGCCACTCCGATAAGATTTGTGGATCGAAGCGGGATTGAAATGAGCGCAATTTGTCGCGTTCTATTGATTCAAATCTGGTTCTATGTCGCATTAGGAGTGAATTAAGACATCGGTGGAAACTAGATCATTGTCCAATTAAGATTGTTGTCTCATGGGCACGGAAAATGGACTCGGAAGATGGGAACAGCCAATCAGCATCTAGTATCGCAGTTTCCGAAAATTTCAAATAGCTTTTTTATTCAAATAATATATATTAATAATTATCTATAATTTTTCATTATTTAATTCAATTAATAAATTATTCAATTAATAAATGAAATGATGAAAAATTATCAAATTGAAAAAAATATAAGGTTAGAACGGATTCCGTTTCCTGAAAAATATGCTCTATGGGGAATCAGAATGTTTAAAATCGAAACGGAAAGCTAAATGAAATTTTCGAAATGATGGTCCTCACCATTTCACTTTTCCGATTTCGTTTCGATTCCGTTTTCCGTGCTCATGGGACAGCATACTTTTGAAGTTTTTAATAAATTTCGAATAAAAAATCTAAAATTAAAAGATTAAAATTTAATTTAATTAATTTAATTTTTTTTAGAATTAAAATAATTTTTTTCAACTTTGTTTTTTGCATAATTTTCGATTCTCGGTATATGTCTCCTTGGATTTATATTCCTTTTTATTATTTCCAATTTTTCATCATCGCTTTTAGACGATAAAGAATCTATTAATTCTCGCACTGTAAGTGCTACTGCTGCTAATAATAGTTTTCTTCGATCTTGCTCCATTTTGCCGTTTGGTTAGGTTTAACGCTACACTCACTATCGCTGTTCATGGAGTTCGCATTCGATAGCGCTATTTTGGCTCCGTGAACGCAGTCGGTAGCGTTGATAACACGGTAGCGAGCTTCCCGAACGCACCCTCAGTGAGCGGGTAAATTTAGCGCGTGAATGACTTGTCGCTGCTTGTCACATATGACCGAATTAGAAAATATCGGTTTGTTGACTTAAAAGTTACTCCAGTTTGTAATGTAATTGTATAATATCGAGAATAATTCTATATGGATGTTATTTACGGCAATCATCATGTGTAAGTATTCGCGTGAAGTGAGCGATTTATTTATTTCGAGATACCTACCGAGATTATATCGCCTTATAACGGTTCGTTTCGTTTGAATCGTAGCGTCAATGGTGCTTCTCCGACGTCAGTTAATCAATACGATGAAGAGGTTCAAGTTCGAGGAATTGGAGAGCGCCGTAATACCCATCTTTCCAGAGATTACCTGGACCCGTGTCAGATCTAAATTAATTAAGAATCACAAGAATTTTACAACCACTAATGCGATTCATGTCATCGAAGAAATTCTTGATGTGAGAATCGTTTGACTTATGATCTTCACTTAAAATTTACATATTTACGATAACATAATATTGTTCTTATGTGTCTAACGTTTAATTTGTTCGCAGAATATAGATTTAAGAAAGAAAGACTTACATGACAGATTGGCAATGCTACTAGTAACAGGTAATATGGCAAATTGCTAAATATAACATTTTTACTATCACAATCAGATTTATAGAATCTTGAATCTTTGCTATTTTTCATTTTAGTATGATATATAATAGATACTGAATATCGATTTTACAAAGTAAAAATACTATTTCAGATGTAAGCAGACACAATGTTAGAAAAGTATGGTATGGATATGAATTAATTAATCCAAGTGGAGAGTTAGGACAATTTGGAAAAGAAGAACTACAGGCGAGAATCAAAGAGAAATTTCATTCAAATGATACAGATGTGGATGTAAAAGTTGTGATGTACAACAATATCATATTTATATCTGTGAAAGAGGAAGAGGTAACGAGAAAGAAGAAACAATGGCGATATAGTATGCCAATCTTCTTTGCTTTCTTCCTGGGACACAAATATATTTTCTGCTCAAGGAAGAATATACCAGTTCACTATATAAAAATGATAGCTATTAGCTTGGGTTATAATAATGGTAAAAGTATCAAATTAATGGGCAAAGACCTCAAGTCTTTGATAAAATTATTATGGATTAAGCAGCAAGGTACTTTATGTGCCGAAAATATTGGTAAACCATTAGTTTACAAATCGTCTGATCCTGTTGTTAGGTAATATTTATTAAAAATATATTCTTTTTTATTTGCTTTTATGAGTATTATTTTATATTATGTATGAGTATTTTATAATTAGATTAAACAATTATTTTTCTTATATAATGTACAAATCTGATTACAGTATTAATGGAATAGATTATAAACAGAACAAGCAACGGAGAAAGTATGCCGAACAATGTTTTGGCAAGGATCCTCCGACTATAGATTTACTTGTTGTCAAGGGACCAGAGGAATCTATACAACATAACATTGTGGCTTCAAAATTACCAAATGAGACTATACATATGAAGTAAGAATTTTTGGTTTTTTAGATGTATCTAAATTCATAATTTGTACGTTCTCATTTGTTATTTCTTTTTTAGCTGGGAATTTCGTAGTCATAGTATACCTAGGTTCTTAAGTGCTTTAATTGAAAAGCGTGCGTTTACATTACCATTACATGACTATGTATCAAATCTTATGAGAATAGGAAGAAACGAATTAAAAGTTAAGATTGATGATCATTGATTATAGATATAAATTTGACAGGAGCATTTCATGTAAATGATACCTGTATATTTTTTATTATAAAAAAAATACTAATTTAAATTTTAATTTAACAAATATTAATTTTCAAATAAATGACGTGCAAGATGCAAAAGACAAATTATATTCAATAATTGTACAGAGAATAAAAGATAACATAAATTAATGAAAATTCTACATAAATTATATTTTGTAATGTAAAACTATTTAAATTTGTGTAAAATATATCGTTATAATAATAGAGGAGAGAAAGAGCAAGAAAAATTAACAATCCAAGGCATCTTTCTAATTTGAATTAGCTGAGATAAAAGAAAAATAGAGAACATTGTATTAAATTTATTATATAACTTTGTTATTACATAGAAATGCCATTAAAAGACTGTTATATTAATAAGGTACATTTGTTGAAAATTCATTTGTTGAACAATATATGTATTTCTCCTACATGCTATTTTCACTAGTTTACATAAAGTTCACTTGGTGCGTTATACGTATGATAGTCATATAAAGCGTAATGAGACACCGTTTAGCTAAAACCAGACTATGCATGATTCATTTGTCAAAAAACTATTCCACTGGCGAATTATATGCAAATAATAAATAACAAATAGCAATTTTATCAACGAATCTATCCATTTATACTGTTCACAAATCTTATATAACCAGTAAATTGTGACTCTCAAATCATGAAACGCGCATAGTTTGATATTAGCTTTAAAAAATTGTTCATAGTGGGGATTAGATATTATTCAGTGTATATATCCAATATCTTGTTTATTATTATATCGTATCTTTCCCATTCAGTCTTCATCAGATTCTTCCTCGTCAGATGTTACATCAGGATCGTTTGCTTGCGCCTGGCATTTGTCACAATGACAAACGAACAGATACAAGGAGCTTAATGCCTGCTGTCTGGAATGTCTACTTCTTTCAAGTTGGCATTCATCGAGATAACTCGTGCAAATTTCGTCACCAACTTTTATATCACGTATTGCTTTTAATACCAAAGTATTATTTGAATAGGGGAATTCAACAACTGCATTTGGTACGCAACTATGGTTCACTGATGATTGTAAAATGTACAGACCGGATCCTTCGTTATTCAAAAAAGGACCTACCGCTGCAGAATTTTCAAGTTAGGGTAAATATTTTTTAAATACGAGATCAGGAGAAAAATATATTTTAAGTTACCTTCATCCATGGCATCGTAAATTTTCTCTATCAATTTGTCAACGTAAATTCTTTCGTCTTTGGGTAATTCTAAAGCGGAAACATTCTTCACCCACCGGCTGAATGAACTGGTACCAATTCCTTGGCCGTTTGTTCCCACTAAGGCTAATAAACTTCTAAAACCGTCTGGTGTGAACCACTAAGAGCAATAATTTCAATTAATAATATATATCTAATAATTATATATATATATATATATATATATTATTTTTTTTTAAACTATACATGTGCAGTGTACTCAATATTAAGAGCTTCCTTCATCATTTGTTGAAGAATATCGATCTGGCCTACAAACTTTTCTCCTAATAAATAGTGTACAATTTCATGTGTGTCATTGGAAACAGTACGGTGACAAAACTGTGAAAACATTGCTAAGGCTTCTTCCTTGTCATTTGCCTGATTAACCAAAGCAACCATCCTTGCCAGCAACATGATCGATGCACTTTCAGGTGGATAATGCATTTGTTTCCATGTTTCACATAATTGGTTGAGAGGGTGACTCTCGTCCTTAACTCTTGATTGTAGGCACAGTATATTGTGATATCTGAGACAAATATATAACATAATTATTTTTAGTGCAATATTTTATTAGAGATCTCAAATAGAACGATAATTTTAAAATATAAAGCACAATAATTTATGATATTCATAAATTTATGATATTTGTTACGATATAACATCTTTTAAATTGTCTTTTATTATCACTCTCTTTAAAGTTAGATGAAAATAAAAATTCAACTTGTAGTTACCTTTGAAATGCTTCATTTTGGCAATCGATGCTGCAATATTTGACTCCGCATAGGGGACATTCAGTTATTAAACTCTTATTTACCTCGCAGCATTCTCTATGTGGTAGAGCAACGAAGCTCGAATTACCCGTCAGTCGTCGGACATTCTCGTCTGCGGTCTCCAGCGGTCTGAGGCAATGATCACAAGCCAAATATCCAAATTCGGAGTTCCATAAGAACTGACAGCAAACCACGGGTCTTTCCTCCAGTATTACATCCCCCTCTTTGAATGCGCGATTAGAGAATAATCCCTTGCCCTACAACGCGAATGCGTGAATTAATATTCTATAAACTAAGCAACGGATTTAATATTATATAAACTAAGCAGCGGTCTCCATATATATTCTATTAAAAAAAAAGAGAGAAATTTCATAATGAAAATGGCATGATTGGTGACCAAGATGAGTACATCTCACCTTCTCATCGTTCACCACTTTGATGTAAAAGCCTTTATCCGCCATAACCCCGTCGTTGAACACACCTGATTACACCGAGTGCAAAGGCCGCAACCCGGGCGGATAAAAAAAAAATCAACCTGAGAAATTCAAATCCTAACCACGAGCGCGTATCGACAACCGCCGCGAGGATAGTCGCGGACGCGCACTGTGGCGTACCGCTGAAGTCAAATTGCCATCTCGTGCTCGCGAAATATGCGACTTCTTTTTCCTCGGAATTTTCAATTTGCGTCTCTCGCACGGCGGAAAATTAATCATAAATTTTTATGATTTGTCATTCGATTCGCGATCGATCGCGATATTCACGTCGAATGTCTACCGCCGCGACCGATGTGCCGCGGCGCGCTTCCGGCGGTTCGACTTCCGCGAAGAAGCGCATCGTGCTGTTAGTGATTCGTCGTGTGCGTTTCGCGGGTCGTCGAGAATTCTTGCCAGATCCTCGTCCGCTCCCCGACGGTTTCTCGAGGAAACGATGAACGGAACGATGGCCATGGTGAGCGAGTTTTCCGCGCGTGAGAATCCTTGCGATCCTCCGGTGGCGAGCGCCGCCCGTCGTCGTCGTCGAGCGACGACGACAGCGGCTAATCCTTTGGCGGCGTAATGGCGATTGCCGTGGAAGCCACCTTTTCGATTTTTCGCGCGGCCTTCGCCGAGAATGGCCTTCGGTATCGAACGCACGATTACGCCGAAAGAGATACGTCAAATCTGCGAAAGACAAATTTTACCAAATATTGTAAATTAGTTGTAAATTACAAATTTTCAATAGTTGTAAATTATTTTATCGGCAAACAGAATTTGTCAGAATTTGATGAATTCGCAGTCACTTTATTTAAATGTGTTCCATTTACAAAACATGTTGGCATTTTTTTAATTAATTTTCATTGATAATTTCATTCATGTGTATGTTATTGGATTTGTTTCTGTTTATAGGCACCAGCGTCACAGAATAGTGCAGAGCCACCGGTGAAGAAGACCAAAGTGGAAGGTAAATTATTAATACAGCCAAAAAGTTGTTATTCCTGTGATAATTATAATATATATATAATTGTACTAGTGGGAAACGCAATGAAACAGAGACAACGGCAAGTGTAATGTGTGTACGTTAAGAGCAAGAACATGAACATGGAAATATGGTAGCTACTTAGGACACTCGGGTGCTAGTTTTCTCTTTAAAAAATAATATGCTGCCAGACTATAAAACTGCAGAATGCTGTTCACAAGCAGTTTTGAGCGTAAATTTTGGTAGGCTAGGGTAATAGTTGATGACTGTATGGCGCTTAAATTACACTAATGTATGGTTGTCCTTCTGTTCTGTTCTGATGTTCCAGCGGAGAGACAGTACAGAATCCGTGGCCTACGACTGAGCTGTGATCATGAGCGTGCGCCAAACAAAGAAAGACTACATTCGTTGAACAGAACAAATCAGAGTTTAACAAACTCCCGCATCTATTACCGAGTACCAAATACGATGCATATTCTAGATAGGTCAGCATTTTAGGGTTTAGAATTTCTTTCTTTCTGATTATGAGTCTCCTTTGCGGGTGAGCTTAAATTGATCATTGTGAGTAAACGACTATATAATTTTTTCTTTATTAATACAATGATGTAAAAAAATGTGTTTTTTGATTATGCGATTATCTTGTGGAATTATTATTGTCAAAACATAATATCTCCACTTATGAAAGATCCTATGGAGGCTTGTAATTGGGAGTGGTAATGGCGAAGATATAATATATATTAAATATATGTTGAATGTCCATTTATATTTATATTAAATGAAGTCGGTAAATTAGCACATCGATACAGTCATGGGTAATTTAGAGATTCATCTAATTGAATTTCTTTCAAATGTGATCTGACAAGTATGTGATGGCTATTTTCGTCACTTTTGTGTTCGCATTTTATTCTACCGCTGAACGAAATATGTGCTATTTCGAGACGTGTTATAACGATATCCGAGTGCGCGCGTGTAGTTGATCAGTGAAAAGATTAATCGCAAGCAGAATCTAAAATTATGTGATGTGTTGAACTTTTTATAACTTTATTAATCATATTTTTAGATTTTAGATTTTATCATGGGAACCAAAAATTTTTTACATTAAATGTGTCTACATTTTTACATTAAATGTGTCTACATCAAAGGTCTCGCCATTGCTACATGAAAATTGTTAGGTTGAAAAGTGATAGGTTGGAGAAGGCAAAGACTAAGGATATGGCGCAGAAAATGCACTGAGAGTATTCTCCTTTGCTTTGTGCTTACAGATTTGTGCGTCGCCTCAATCTCGGATAATTTGCGCACAACCGTCATTGCTCAGCCCAGAACACGGTTAGCTGTAAATCGAATGATCGAACAAAACTTTAAGAGGCTTTTAATTCCTGAAAAGTCGCACTGACTTCTGTTTTTCTGTTTCTGATTTCTGTTTCAGAGACTAGCAGACCAAATTGGTTATGAAACCTAATCTAATTATGAGTAGTATGAGATTTTTGGGGCTGATTGTGCAAACAGTAATTAAAGCTTAAATTTAATAATACTCCTCGGCTAATGACTAATTTGTCAAAGTTTAATACATACAAATAATGTTCGGTCCATCCATTTTCTCTTATATAAGTCGTTTTATCGTTTCTGACAAAATTTCTTGTGGTCTTCGTACAATCTATACTTTGTGTCTTCCAACAGCATTCATCAAACGAGAGAAATATTTCTTCGTTTCGATGTTTGCATAAATGTATGGTTTTTATATATACAATTTTACATACAAATATCTATAATAACATCCACATACATATATATAACCATATATATTAAAAAGAGTTGTAATATTCCTTGATCGTTTTAATTTCTGTGAACTTACAGTTTGGAGGACGGTTTTATCATAGCAGCTTCTGGCGTGACGTCACGGTACTCCCGTGTTAAGAAAGATATTCCACAATACGAATAAGAATAACGCGCCCGCATACACCAATGCGACTAATAGAAGTTTTACTAGCCTAGGGCAATAGGTCATCCAGCTGTTACATATGTATATCCGTGTACGAATCTGTACATACATAGATGTTTTCCCCAAAAGTTTAATCAAAGACAAACGTTTGATATATATTACTGCGATAGCAGTTGTTTTATCTAAAATATTAAAATTTTTATGAATTGGATTTTAAAAATGTGAGATATAATAGCCACCCGATCAAGATTTACTGATAAGAAAGTAATTTCCAATTAAATTGGATTATTAAAAAAATAAAATAACTTGGTGGCGTAGCTGGTTCTATTAAAAAAAAAAAAAAAAAAATAGGAATGGTTCAAATATTCTTCATATTTGTCTACTTTAATACAAATTGTCTAATGCATGATTTCTTTGTAGGAAATGCATCAGAGTTCTTATCAGGCCCCATATATGATCTCAATCAAATAGGCCAGGTCGTTGCTGGTATGTATAACATATATTTTTTACTTTATATTTAAATTTTTCTGTAAATTTCTGTAAAAATCTATTTCATCTTAAACAAATGATGTATCATATCAATAGTGACGTTATTTTACAAGTCAATTCAATTTAAGTAATATTGAACATTGACGCGGATTTTATGGACGAGTTGCTGATAAGATCTGATATGAAATAATTAATCTTTATCGCTTTGAATCACTCTAGATTAGTCTAATTCATATTTTTTTCTATTTTATAGGACCTGGAGCTAAGTATCTGACACTACCTGGAATATTAGGAGCTGGTCTACCGAAAATTACGTCCGAGCAGCAAGATACTGTAAACAGGGCGAAGAAATATGCAATGGAACAGAGCATTAAGATGGTTCTCATGAAGCAAACTTTGGCCCATCAACAACAGGTAATTTCTAAATTGCCAATATTTAACGTAATTCAACAACTTTACATGTATTTGACATTTCAATTTCATTGTGCCATTTTTAAAATTTTATTATAATGAAAAATTATCTTATGGATGGTTACATTTAATATACAATCGGTTATCAACCCATGAATTTTTAAGACCGATGAATTTTTCTTTAATTTTAAAAATGCATAATGGAAATGTATGCATGTGTATACATGTGTATAATAACTTAATCACTGAATTTGCAAATGAGAATAAATCAGAATTTATGTTAGAATATATTAGAATTAATACATTTATCTATTTAAATATATATTTATAAATTAGCCTTTCTATTTTTCGTAAATTTGTTGAATATTCAACTTTTAACTCTTTGCTTATCAATGAAATGCTGATCAGCCAATTCGATGATTAAGTTAATTTTAGTAAGTTTTTTTAGTTTAGTAAGTTATATAAAATTGATTTGTATTATATCGTTTATATATGTATAAACAATTTCCTCTATTCAGCTCTTTTTCTACTGATATATAAACTGATATATATAAACATATAAATCATAAACTTTGTACACGATTTTAAAATATTTAACATATAGCTCGTCCCGCCGAGTCAATTACTATACAAATGCTAAGAATAATAGAACAAGCATTGGAATGTCTAATTCTGATCGGCTCATTTTTTCTCCCCGCAGAAGAATAAGTTGGTCCTGCGGCAGCAAGTTTTATTGCTAATGTGCAGGTTAGTGTGAATCCATATCAAGAAATAATAAATCTGCCTTATGGTCGAAATTTCCCCGAGTTGCTACTATAAGAAAAGGTTAGATATAACTTGTGATAGTATAGTCGGCGGGAGCAGAGCTGTACAACGCGAAGGAGGATAAGTTTTTATGAATACATGAATCTTGAAATGATTTTAACAATACTTCTGTGCTCGATCGTATTTCTGCTTCGGAGAATAAAAATAATGTAAAAAGTTACTTTCCAAAGCTTCAGAAATGTGAAAACGGAAAAAAAATAGAAAAATTGCTCTAAAACACTTTTTATATAAATAACTAATTTTGCTTTTCATAAATTTTATAAATCAATAAATTTTTATATTTTTTAAAGCTTGTGATGTTCGATTTACATAATCCATATGAGATATTACTGTTCATATATATAACTCTAAATAATCTCTAATTTTTTTATAGAGATTTATATATTTGTATAAAATATAATAGTTTATTTTAATATTTTATAATATTGTAAACAATTATGATACATTTTTTTTAATACTATAAGATTTAAATTGATATTAAAAAAATATTAATATTAAAAAATCGAGCAAAGAAGTTTAAATGATAAAAGAGCTTGAGGGATTACTTGAAATCAATGAGATGTTATATGTAAATGGGGGAGGGATATCAATAGAAGGCCTCTGGTCCTTTGTGTTGCAGCAAATGGCTAGTCAACGGAATCAGGTGCAAAGACAGCAGGCTCTCGCCCTCATGTGCAGGTTTGTTTGTTCTTTGTTTTAACCCTACAAAACCTTACAAAACTTTTTTATGCAAGATCTATCGTTATAGTTTAAGAGAATTATGGTAGAAATATAAAATATTTTTATATTTTATATTTTTATAAAATATTTTTAAAAAAGATTTTATTTCTATATTTTGAGTAATTTTAAGTATATTCAATTTATTAAGAAAGTAATTATAATATAAAATTATAAATATTTTCTATTTTTAATTTTTAATTATATAAAGAGATGTCAATAAGTTTTTTTAATTACATTAATAAATTACAAAAATTTGTTTCTTAGAGCTTTTAATGTTATCCTCGGTTTCCAAATATCCTGAAGCAAACATTGATCCTTCTAACATACACGTAAGCACGCGCGCGCGCACACACGCGCACACACACACACACACACACACACACACCTTATTTTCACGATATTTTTCACATTAATTTTTATTAATAGCAATTCTGTCTCACGTATTATAACATTCGTTTAATTTATGTGTATTTCTTATATTTAGCAACAATTTATTAAATCAAGTTATAATTAATGCATATTTTATGTTACATTTCCTTTTTTATAGAAATAAAAATATTCGATATTATTTTTATCAGATTGTAAATTAAATAAGTACTATGTTTATATCAATCACTTGCAAAATTTTATTTACATAAGTATATACATAAGTAGATAAAGAAATCATGATGTATTTAAACATGAATTATTTAAAAAAAAAAAATAGAAAAAACAATGGATAGTTACATGAAACATTTTAAAAAACCGTTATATTATATGTATAGTAAATGAAAATAAATTTTTTAAGTCTTAAAAACAATTGTTAAATGTATATTTCAATATTTAAGATATAATAGATTATTATAATTATTTATTTAAAATAAAATATGCTTTTTAGTCTTATGCATGATGATGCAAGTGATTGATATGTGCAAGTTTAAGTAAAATAAAATATTAGCAAAATATGTGACATCGACATTAATACTACATATATATGATTGTATGACAGGGTTTATGTAGGCAGCATCAGTTTTGAATTGAAAGAAGATACAATCAGGCAAGCTTTCTTGCCATTCGGACCGATTAAATCCATCAATATGTCTTGGGACCCCGTTACGCAGAAACACAAGGGTTTCGCCTTTGTCGAATACGAGATACCCGAAGCCGCACAACTTGCTTTGGAACAAATGAACGGTGTCATGATCGGTGGCCGCAACATCAAGGTAGCAGGACGTACCTATATAACGAATTTCCTGTCCCCCAGCAATCCTATCATCCCGCCGGAGGTCGGCAAATTTTTATTTAGCTCTTTATCCAATATCCATGATCTTCGAGCAAACTGCATCCAAACTGCATTTAAACTGCAATTCGCTCGAAAATCTTAATATACTTTTATTATGTATATATTACTTTGAATTCATTAATTTATCGAATAACATCCCGTTATGTATATTCTGTGTTATATATTTACTTAGTAAATAGCTTTTCACTAATATTTATATATCGTGAGAGTACATCTTACAGAATATTTTTTTCTCGTACTTTCCTCAGGTAGTGGGACGTCCGTCCAATATGCCACAAGCGCAATCGGTAATCGATGAGATCACTGAAGAGAGCAAACATTACAATCGCATATATATCGCTTCAATACATCAAGACCTAACGGAAGAAGATATCAAGTCAGTTTTTGAAGCATTTGGGCCAATCACGTATTGTAAGCTCGCTCAAGGTAGTTCGCCGCATCGACACAAGGGTTATGGGTTCATCGAATACGAGACAATGCAAGCTGCGCTGGAGGCTATTGCTTCTATGAATTTATTCGATCTCGGTGGTCAATATCTGAGAGTAGGCAGAGCTATAACGCCGCCGAATGCACTTATGGGACCTCCTAGTGGCACCAGCATGATGCCGACCGCGGCCGCGGTGGCAGCAGCGGCTGCAACGGCGAAAATTCAAGCGATGGATGCTGTTGCTAGCAATGCGGTCGCATTAGGCCTCACCAAACTTGGAGCTGCCGCACCACCGATTTTGAATCAAAGTTCGTAAATTCGCCAATTTTCGTATTTACGTTGAATCTAAGTTAGAAAAAAATTATATCTTTAATATTTATTGTTTTTATTATAGCGCTTCCCGGAGTGGTACGACCTACTATAGCACCCGCAACAATAATGGCACCACCGGTAGCCACGGTAGCACCAGTGATACCTCCGCCTGGTATAGCTATACCGCAAACTTTAACGCGACCGCCCGCTATTATTCAACCAATTCCTGGTCAACCAGTTGTTATACCACCTCCTGCTGTTGTCGCGCCAACGATTGTCGGCACACCAGTTGTACGTATTCTACCAATACGTTGGAATAAGAAGCATTGAAATAAAAAATATTGAATGTACTAAATCGTTATGATAAATCTGCTTATTAGATACCGGTTACAACTACTGCAAATTCCGATATTATTATGAGACGAGCGCAAGAACAAGCAGCTCACCAAAAACAACAGGAGGAATTGCAGAAGAAACTCTTGGAAGAAACGGAACCGCAAACGTTACAACAGCAAGAAAATATGTCTATTAAAGGCCAGAGCGCACGTCATCTCGTGATGCAGAAGCTCATGCGTAAGGTCGAGTCCCGAGTCGTCATCTTAAGAAATATGGTAGCGCCGGAAGATGTGGACGAGACACTACAAGAAGAGATCCAGGATGAGTGTTCCAAGTTCGGTGTGGTCGTTCGGGTTATTATTTATAAGGAGAGGCAATCCGAGGATGACGAAAATGCGGAAGTCATCGTAAAAATATTCGTCGAATTCGCTGAAATGAATGGTAAAATATAATTATTGTATATGATAAAAATATGCAATATGCAGACAGGACACCTTTTGCTAAGGCTTCTGAGTACTCGACTAAGAACTTCGCATTAACGGTAGCGACGTACCGTCGCGATGAAAAATGCGCATTCATCTTGTTCATCTTTATATAAATGACGTGCGGACAACGAAATTTTTTATTGCAGTTATTTTCATTGTTATGATCTTAATCGTGCAGATGTGACTTGTTTCGTACTTAATAGATTCGTAAAAATGAGCAACTAAAATTATCTTTAAACATTACATGTAAGAGCATTTTTTCTGCTTCTTTCAGCAGTTGTCAAACCGTGTGTTTTCTGCCTAACAGGCTTCATGTTCATGTCTCTTTTACAGCTATTTATTATCAGGAAGAGAAAGGATAGCAGCGGCCCATTTTCACAAGTGTTTTAAAACCATATTTATCACTATCAGTTATTATTTTAATCAAATATCTCTTTATTTGCAAAATTAAT